TTTTTTTTTTTTTTTTTTTTTTTTTTGTGTAAATTACTTTGATCGTAATTGTTTAGCTATTGTTTTTTCCATGGTTTTCTGTATGAACTTTCTCTGTACATGAATTCTCTAGAATTGGTGTGATAACATCTCCTTGTGCAGTACCTAACAAGTGTCTTCCTTTAATTTTTGAAGTTATTTTATCAAGCTTATCTTGGAGAAGAAATATGCTTTGCCATACCGTGTAGTTGATGCAGTCGTTGCGCATTTTTTGAAGTTTCTAGACGAGACGCGAGTAATGCCTGTAATATGGCACCAATCACTGCTTGCATTTGTGCAGAGGTTAGCAAAAAAAAAAAATCTTGTTATCTGTTCCCTTTTAATGTGGTAGATTTCATTTTCTTCAGAATAATAACTAATATTAGTTTCAACAATTAGTATATCACAAATACATTTGAATGCCTTGTTTCAAATATTGTGGTGTCACTTATGACTAGTTTTGCGTACATCTCATGCAGGTATAAAAATGAACTGCGGTTGGAAGATAAAGCAAACATTAGAATTCTTCTTCAAAGTCACAGGCACAAAGATGTAAGACTAAATTGTTTTGATTTGTAGCTTCACAAATCTTAATATTACTTTCCAGTATGGTGCCAATTATCTTAGAATTTGCCTTCTGGAATATAGGTTACTCCAGAAATTATGAGGGAACTAAATAATAGCCGCAGTCGTGGTGAGAAGGACGCTACTACAAATATCCTTGAACATAGTTAAATTTCGTATTATTATTGTTAAATATCTTTTTGCAGGCAGGAGACTTATCTCATCTGTGTTCTTTATGCTACGATTTTTGTTGGCCAACAAAATTGTCCATTTTCAAAACATCTTAAATAGGTTTAAATTACGAATTTCGTCCAGATAGCTTAGAATTCGATGCGTTCTTGAAAGTTCGAACACAGCTATTTAAACCATACCATATGGATTGATTTGAAACTGGAGTTGATCTATGCTGTTGATAGTGTTCCTTTTGTTTGGATTTTGGACTAATTAATGTGATGTTGAAGGAGTTTGTTCCTTGACTAGCTTTTACCTCCAGCTCCTGTGACTAAACCTGTGGAAGAAGACCGGTTCAATATTCCACTAGTTCCAATGGAAGAGGATTAGGATTGTTGACCTGTTCTTCTGCGGTGGCATCAGTTTCACAACATGGTTGGTTACTCCAGATTTTGTAGTGTTGAGAATTGATATGATATTGATTTCTATATATTAATTTATTTTTGCACATCGAAATCCCAGTCTGAAAAGAAAAAGAGAGAAAAAGATGTGTATTTTTTTGTAGAAAAAGTCTGGGAGAGATTTTATCTTTGACCTTAATGTGTGTTGTGTTGCTGAGTAAAGTCAATTTTAATTTCAAATCGTAGTATGGATTAGTTGATAAGCAATTCTTCGTGAAAATTTGTAGTTATCCAGGAGCAGTTTTGTGGTTGAATGATATCCTTTTATTTTTATTTTTGTTGGTTTTAGACATTTGTAGCTATCCATCCACTGATATTGTGTTTTTTTAGCTTCAAAGTTTCTTTACCCACTGTTTTGTTATCTTCGTTATCTTCTTCAACCGACGTGGGATCTCACAATCTACCCCTCTTAGAAGGTCCAGCGTTCTTGCTGGCGTTTGGTGTCAGACTCTGATACTATTTGTAATAGTCCAAGCTTATTGTTGTCATCTTTGGGTTTTTTATTTTTTGCTTCCTCTCAAAGTTGTAAAACACTTCTAGTAGGAAGAGGTTTCCACTCTTAGCAATGTTTCGTTATCTTCTCTAACCAATGTGGGATCTCACAGTCTACCTTCTTGGGGTGCCCAGTGTCCTCGTTAATGCTCGGTATCGAACTCTCATACTATTTGTAACAGTCTAAGCTTATTATTGTCATCTTTGGGCCTTTTTTTTTTCTCTCTCTCAAAGTTTTAAAACGCTTCCAGTAGGAAGAGGTTTCCACTCTTATAAGCAATGTTTTCTCTTCTCCGATTGATGTGAGATTTCAGATGTTTCGTTTTTCTCCAATCGGTATTTCATATGTGTATTACTACGATTTGAGCTTATCTTTATCGAAGAACAGGTTTATGGAATGACAATGACATTTCCGAACCCAAGGATTTAAAACTATAGCATCCACATATGGACCTAATCTTTTAGAAAGACAAGCAGAATGGGACCAAAGGGGAAAAAACCAAACAATTTCTATGAAATTACATATGAAATGTTTGAGAAACTTTTGTTTGTTCCATCTCCCCCACTCAACACGCCCGCGTGAGAAACCTTTGCCAAATTTGTGGGCTACTCTTATTCTATCACTCTCTCTCTCTTTCTTTAATGCTTTTTTATTTACTATTACTTTTTTCTTTTTTCTTTTTTTGAAAAAGTTGCATTATTGTTTGGTTCTTAATTGGATGACAAAAATTTCCATGAGATTAGGTCGGATTCTCACTCGAACGAGATTTTCATATTTTCTTTGAATAATAGATGAGCTCTTAAATCCATCACTTTCGACCTTTCGTTTCTAACCTTTTGAAATACTGATTCTTCATCTCATGTGAACTACCCTTATGGTATTTATTTTCATCATGTGTGAATTGGATCGTGTGTTTTAACTTCACGCAATTACAATCGGTAAACCTTGTTTCATGGACAAATAACGTGCTTCCCAAAAGAAGCAAAACTATGCACTGGTGTAAGCCTTGCAACATTAACTATGTTTCCTTATTTCTTACCTTTTTTATTTTTGTTCTAATTATTGACCGATGGAAAACAGAAAAAAATTTGAAACATTGTCGAGCAAAGGAGATGAATTTGGTAATGATAAATAAAGGGTACTTTTGGAATTCGACAGGGACAAAATCTTAGAACCTCGTTACCTCTAATTCTTTCTTTGACAAAAATGAAAGATAGGACTTTCAACACGGTTTTATTAGATTTTTCTCATAGATCTAAAATTAAAATTTTAATTTATATATTTTTTATTTTATAAAATCTAATTTAAAATTAATTATTGATGTCAATATAATCATAACTATGTACTTTCCACTCAAAAAATTATTATTTGAATCTTTCATTTTATATATTATTTTAGAAAGTTATTTCTTCATAATTATATAATTAAAAATATATTTCACTTATTTGATATTAATTAAATATTGAATTAACATTTTTTATACTTTAATTTGTCATCGAAAATTCAAGAATTTAATTATCTAAATTTAATCCAATTTTAAGTGATAATTTCAATTAATCTGTAATTTAAAATAAAAGTATAATTTAATGAAATCATGAACCACTAAATATCTTTATTAATTAAAATAATTATAATTAAAGTTACTAATTCGAGAAATTAAAAAAAAAAATCTGATATTTAATCTTTTTAAATGCTATTTTATAAATTAAATTAAAATTTATAAACTACCTAAGATAAGATAAGATATTACATGGAATATAAGAAATACAAATATTTATACTTTTTTAAATAAATGAACATGTCCTTTTATTTATTTATTTATTGTTCTTTTGATATGGATGAAATGCCCCACTTGAAGCTAGACTCTAGCTCAATTTAATATACATACACCCAACCATAATTCACTTTATCAATAAAGCCTGTAAACAAAAAAATCATTTTACCAAAATTAAAAAAAAAAAAAAACTCCAAAATTAAATTTAAAATGATTTTAGAGTTAAAAAATTTATAAAAAAAAAACCCGATAAAGAAAATTATAAACGACCCATGTCCAGAACTCAGAAACCAGGTCCCGACATAGGATGGTCTCAACATTACCCTGTGACATGGCCATGCTTTCTACTTCCCACTCGTTAAAAGTAAAACTATCTCACAGACCAACACAAGTGTTACAAGATATTTAAAATATATATATAGATAGACAGAGAGGGGTAATTAAAATAAATAATTTGAAAAATTAAGAACGAAATTATATAAATAATTTGAAAAATTAAGAACGAAATTATTTTAATAATTTGTGAGAAATATGAAGTGAAATTTCAATTGAAGAGAGAGAAAGGTAGAGAGAGAGATGAACAATTTGAAGGCATTGAATTCCATTGATGTCTTTGTTTTACTCGTTCCCCAATCTTTTCCATGTTTTTTCCTTTCAGTTTCTCCAGTCACAATCATGGAGTTTTTTTTTTTCTCTCTCTCTCTCTCTCTTTGTTCCCCCTTCCTTTATAAGCCATTTTCATGCTTCCTCTGCTTCCCCAGCTTCGATCATGGAGTTTGTGAATCTAATCCAAGAGCTTAATCAGGGGAGAAACCTCGCTCACCAATTACGCGATCATCTTCATCCTTCTCTTTCTTCTTCTTCTTCTTCTCCGTCTTCAAATGGCATTCTCTTGATCGATCAGATTCTTCGTTCTTACGAGAACGCGCTTTCTGTTCTCGCCGGCGGAAGCAGCGGCGGCGATGAAGAAATCCCGCCCACCATTGCGGCTGTGAAACACAGAGACGTATCGAAGAAGAGGTAATTTCGTAATCGATTGTTTTGGGATTTTAGGGTTTTGTTGGTTCGTGATTCTGATTGGATTTTAGGGTTTTGTGTTTTGCAGAAAGGTAATGGCGAAATGGAGTGAGCTGGTTAAGGTTCCTTCTGTCTCCACCATTGGAGCTCTTCCTGATGATGGATTTAGCTGGAGAAAGTATGGGCAGAAGGACATTCTTGGATCCAAATTCCCCAGGTCGCTTACCTTTTTTTCTCATTATGTTCTCTTCTCTGTTTCAAATCGTGTTCATATTGTTCCTCTGTTCTTGTTCCTGCGGGTTTAATCATCTAAACTGAAAAGAGTTTTTGAGAATCGTTGAGAGAGGAGTCTCACATCGATCATCAATTTATAGATAAGGAATACGTCTTCATTGGTATGCCATTTTGAAAACCATGAGAGCTTATGCTCGAAATGTACAATATCATATCACTGTGGAGGGTTGTTGTTCGATTTAATGGATGAAAACAATGATTATGATCAATTCAGTCGATCACATCAACGATTTATGAAGTAATATGACAGCAAAACTGAATCATTTTGTTGTGTTTTGGGAATTGCAGAGGCTATTTCAGATGCTCACACCGCTTTGCACAAGGATGTTCAGCGACAAAACAAGTTCAAAGATTAGACAATGATCCATCCATGTATGAAATAACGTACAGAGGTAAACACACCTGCAACAAACCTCTTCATTCAAACACACCAAAACAAGAACAAACCCCACAATTACAGCAACATCCAATGCTAATGCCACCAAAACAAGAACAAGAGGAGCCATTGCAGCAGCAGGATGCCCCATTGTACCTCACCGTCAGCTCGGACAATGTGGACGACAGCCTCCGACGACCCTTCTGTCCCCCGTCGCCATTGTTTCGATCTGAAGTTGAAGATGATCAAAGCCCTTTTAGGGGAAGTGAGTTGGAGGGGTTAGAATTTTGGTGTATTGGGGATGGAGATTTGGTCTCAGGTCCGAGTTCATTCACCAATATTTCCATGGGAGATTTGGAGGAGTATTGTAGTTTGGAATCCTTCTGCTGAATATAAACAAGCAATCGGCATTGAAAGAGAGATGATTTGATAATGTGAAGGTCTCCTGCATTGCTGCTTGGTTTTGAATTCAGTGTACTTATTCATCTTTCCGTAGGAGAAAATAGGCATTTGGTAACTTTCTTACCACTTGTGTGTTTGAATTAGAACAATAAGATTGGAATTCGTATTCATATTTTTTTCTAAAAGGACCAAAATACCCTCATTTTCAAGTCCCGAGCCGAGATGTAATCCATCGTTGAAGGGAGTTAACGATGTAACGAAGCTTGTGTCTTAAAAGATTCAATCCTCAATCCAAGGAGGCGTTTTAGAAGTCGGGTCCTCTCACAAAACCAATGCACATAGCTCGAGGAAGAGGAGATGTGAGATCCCACATTAGTTAGAGAGGGGAATAAAACATTCCTTAAAACCTCTCCCTAGTAGACACACTTTAAAACTGTGATGCTGACGACGATACGTAACGAGCCAATGGACAATACCTGCTAGCGGTGGGCTTACAAATGTTATCAGAGTCATTCATTGGGGCGGTGTGTCAACGTGGACATTGGGTCCTCAAGGAGAGAGGGGATGGATTGTGAGATCCCACATCGATTAGATAGGAGAACGAAACATTCCTTTAAAACCGTGAGGCTAAAGGCGATAAGTGACGGACCAAAGCGGACAATACTTACTAGCGGTGGGCTTGAGTTGTTACAAATGTTATCAGAGTCATTCAATGGGGCGGTGTGCCAACGTGGACATTGAGCCCTCAAGGAGGGAGGGAATGGATTGTGAGATCCCACATCGAAGACAAGATAACGAAACATTCCTTTAAAACTGTGAGGTTGATGACGATAAGTAACGGGCCAAAGTGGACAATACCTACTAGCGGTGGACTTGGGCTCTTCCAGGAGAAAAGTTTTTTGTGGTTGGTGGCATCATCGGCTTTGTGGGTAACACATGTCAACTAAGAATATGTACAAAGTATTCTCGTTATCTTTAATTCATCAATTATGTATTTTTTCGAATAATTTGATTAGCATTAACGATAAACGTTTAAAATATTTTATCAACAAAAATAAACTTACAAAAATTACTGTCAAAATTTTCTCGCTTTTGGGTAATAAATATTTACTCACAGTAGTTTTGTTTTCAAATTCTTGTAACTAATAAAATTTTAAACATAATTTGCAAATATCCCAAAGTATTCTCGATTTGTTCATAAGGGCCTCGAACCAATGACAATCTCACCGTCCATTTGGTCAGATCTGAACCACCAAAGTTTTGGGCCTGAAAATGGTAAGCCCATTTAGTGAGTTCCAGCCTATAAGCACGATAGCTGATGCTCACCATTTGAGCCATTTTGGTCTTTGGGGAATCAGACGGAAAAAGGAGCAAAACCAAAGATGATCTACCGGAAATGGAGTCTTCTCACCGGCCCCACCGCTATCTTGGGCGGCATAGTTGTCTCTCTGGCCGTCGCAAACTTCATCTTCGTTAAAGAAGTAATCCCTTGCTTTCCTTAACTCCCTTCGCTTTTGATTTTTAATTCATCTAGATTCTTTCCAATATTTTGGTGGTGTTGTTATTAATTTGTGTGTATGTGTGTTCTTGTATTGATCTGTTTGCCATGATTTGGATTTGTTGTTGTGCGGCCGACTAGATTTAGGGTTTCGCATAATTTTTCCTTCTGCTCTCTTTTGGTATCTGGAAATCGTGTTATGAAATTGAAAATGAATCTGTTCGGTGGAGATGAATGTGGCGTTGTGGCGTTTTTCCTTATTTTCTTTTGAAACTTTCGGTTTTGCCTGACAAATTTGGAATCTAGGAACATTTCACGCATTTTTCTAATCTCGGGACTTGAATTTGGTAGGATGAATGCTTTACTCTGGGGTTGGGTGATCATTTAGTCCAAGAGTTTAAGCAGTTGAAGCAAGATTATGTTAATATTTTCGATATCTCTATTTGGTTAAGTTGAATTTTTTTCTTTTCAGTATATTATTAAAACTTCATTCCATAATTACTGTATGTGCCTGTGGGTAGGCAACTGGTTCATACTTTTCCACTATATTCATTTACAGACAATAGAATTGCTGCATGTCTCTGAGTTGCCCCTTTTAATTATGTCTATATATTGTATTATTGGCCATTGATGTGTTGGCAATTCTCACTCATGGTTTGAGCTCTCTTAATGTTGCCGAAACTTCAATAAATCTAAAGCTTAAGTGACTTCAATCTTAACTTGTCGGTGTCTTTATAAATGAAGTTTGTACTTGAGTAGTACTTTCATTTAGCCTGGCTTTTCCATTTAGTGTTTTGACGATGAATAGATCAAAATAGTAACACCATATTTTTTTTCTTCCTTTAATGAATCGACCTGAGGATACAAAACAGTTGGTGGTAAGGCTTGTAGATGGACCTCCCCATTGTACTCTTTCTTTTTCTTTAGCAATTCCATAAGAGGGGGCTGATAAGGCTGCTGATAAAGCACAAGCCAAACACCTCATAATGTACCTAAGCATGGCTTGGCCTCTTTTGCTGAGGTTTGCTCTGGCATATCAGGCACGGCTTCAATTTTTAGTTGAGTCCACATGTGTGCCTTGTCAACTCACCAAATTGTTAGACGAACACGACTCTCCACAATGGTATGGTATTGTCCACTTTGAGCATTAAGCTCTCATGGCTTTGCTTTGGGATTCCCCAAAAGGCCTCATACCAATGGAGAGAGCATTCCTTGATTATAAACCCATGATCATTCCCTAAATTAGCGGATGTGAGACTTTCATCATCCAACACAGATAACCAAGACATTTCTTTGAATGTTATGTTGAAGGTGCGCTGTGGTATTACGCCAAATTTACATCTTCAACCGAGAAATTCTTGATCATTCCAAAAACCCTTTGTAGAGCTTCTACGGGCCATTCTTATATCTTGGATTTGAAAATATATTATCTGTTCGTAGGTAGTTCTTACAGTTACAGCTTCTAATTAGCAATTAATTAACCATCTATTGGGGATCATTATTATGGATTCTGGATCAAGTATGAGTTTCCTTCTAGATACAATTTCTTGTAATATAGAAATTTGTCCAGAAAATTTATGTTGAATTCAAATGTTTATTTATATTGCTAACCATTAAAAATTCCAAGATATTGGGCAGGAATCTTCACAAAGGAAAGAAGAAAACTCTTTGGAACACTGTTATTAAGTCTCTCATTGATTGGCCAGGAAGAAATAAGAAAATTTGTAAAATTCACTCGAACAATGTTATTAGGGTCTTTCATTGAAAACTTAACGTCAAAGAAAACTGATAAATTTTCCGATAGTTTTAATCATATTTGTATCTTTTGGAAATGGGCATGCCACAAAATGGAGCTCGCTTTGTAAAACCTTTTGTAATGAGAATTTGGTGCCAATTGGAGTGTTTCTTCCTCATCCTGTGTTTTGTATTTCATTTTTCGATGAGTGGTGTTTATTTCTCAAAATAAAAACATAATTGATACTTCTTTTTTCCTTAATTGACCGTAATCATTCCTATGAATGTTCATTTGCAGGATCCATTTCTGAAACCAAAGGAAAGGAAGCCGGAACCAGCTACAAAATGAAGGATATATTCAGCGAAGGTTCCAATTTAAATCATCTAGAGATTGTATCTGGATTGGTGTTGTCTTTAAATTGTTGTTTTGCTTTCTCATGAGAATTTGTTATTAGTTCTAAGATTCTCAGTTAGACCTGACTAGTGATCTTTATCTTTAAATAACCAGATGAGAAACGTTTCTTTGGCCACGAACCAAAAGTTTCTCATCGACTATTCTCGAATTGGATGTAGGTGGGGGATGTATTCGAACAGTTGGGTGTGTGGTGGATCCTTATGCTGTCTAGATTTGCAGAAGGAAAACCATAAACAAGAAGAAACAAAAAGTAAATAAACCATCACTCTTCTTTTTGTTACAAAAGATTGATTATCAGGTGTCCTTATTTCTTTTTTCAGCTCCATCAAGCTTATATTTTGGTTTACAAATGGTTTTACAAGATTGATCAATGGAGGCATTTCTGTTTCTATATATATATAAAAAGCATTTATTCTTTTCCAGGTAAAACAAACAGCCAACCAAAATCCTTTGAAGTAATATCACTTTCTATTCCAACCCTGTGAAAGTTCAATCTTGTGTTCTCCAAAAATGTCCAACCCTTTGAATCTTCAATCCTTTACATCTGAACCAACAATTGCATTAGCAAATCATTCCAGGAGTCTATTGGACCTGGTAAACACCAATGTAAACAATCAGTCTGGACTTTCTTATTTCCATCTGCAAATGGATGGAACTGCCTGTATGGACCCGGGTGCCCATCAGGTCTCAATAACGAGAGTCGGGTCGTGTCGAGAAGCTTCAAGCTTTGGCACTTTCCAGACCCAACAACCTTCCCAAACTCTTCCAGTTCAATTTTTCTCATTGCTACGTCCACATCTTTCATGTCAACCTCCCCTCCCTTGAAGGGCACTGTCCTATTGCATTGCCCTCCACTGAACCATTCTCCATTCTCAAAGTGATCTGGTGTGGTAGTTCTGAAGAACACAAACGCCTTGTGATCAGAACCCGTGATGAAGTCAAATACCCGGTCAATTACTTTTCGATACGCATACTCAAACCCTAGGTCTGTTAAGTTCTTTACCAAGCAGTTATGGCAGCCAATGACAGTGTCGTTCTCGTAGTATATAGCAGTCTTCAAAAACCATTTCCCACCTGCAATTACAACATAATCAAGATTCTTATACTGTGAGGTCCATTCTTCATCGAGCTTGTCGAGATGGAGCTGGACATCCGAACTCGAAACTCCATTGATATCCTCAAAAATGACCGCTTTCGTTAGGAACGGATCCCAAATCACTGAAAGTGTGAAGTTGTGAGATGGGAAGCTCCATTTTTTGGATCTGTACTCTTCATCGTGGTAGATCTCAACTGCTTCCTCCACCTGTGGGACATTTCCACTGAACTTTCATCAATAACAAAACATATCAACAAACAATAAATTATGCCAAAGAATAAAAAAGAACACGACAAGAAGCAAAGTCCACACGACAATATTCAAAGTGTTCCAGTGGGTGTTGGTGGGTCCTTTTCCAGCATCCAAGTCAGACCTTTTTTTTCCCCTATTTCTAAAATGTGGGGCTTTTTAGATCTGAAATCCAAGCAGAATTTATAAACAGTCAGTGAAGAAAAAAGGAAGTCCAATTTTTGTTCTTGAATTGTTAATTATGAATTTCTAGTGTAGTTGGTTTATTGGTCAATTATTGAGGATGCAAATATTGATGATGCTTTACTGTAGCAGTAGACCAAACATCTCTTTGTAATGACACCATAAAGAAGATGCAAAAGATAAGGTTCCTTAGCTTCTAAACAAAGTTAAGTTCATTGGAAATGAACTTCTTAACCCCTGTTTCAATTGGTGATCTAACCACATAGTTCTCCTCTGTTTAGGCTCGAAAACGATCCCACGAGATCACCGAATCTCGACACGACACAAAAACAAGACTAATAATTGCTTGAAACTCAAAGAATTGGAAGCTGTATAGTACCTGAGAAAGAGTACAAACCAATGATTGAACATGGTTACGTTGAATGGAATCGCCAACGAAAGCCCATGATTTGTTCCTCATTAGATTAAGAAACTTCCGGGGATTAAACCTCGGTAAATCGCAGTCCTTCGGACTCCATCTCCAGTAAAGATAACCCGTGTCGGGTCGTCCATTTCGTACACAGTTCTGATGAGCTTCAATGACATGGCAGCTCTCATTAGTGTAAGAGGGTCCAGCAAGGTCTGCTACCCATTCCCCCACAAATATATCACATTCTGCTCTAGTATCTGAATTTGTACATGAAAAAACCAGAATCAGTGAGCATCAAACATAGGAATTTCAGACAGATAAGATAATAGTGATGAACTTAGATCTATCCCCAAAATGTTTGGAGTAATTGTCTGCTATTAGTGTCTGAAAAAAGGGTCGATATGAAATTTGTTGTAGGGAGGGGGGATTTTCCCGAGAAAATCCATTTTCCTGGAAAAGTGAAGAGAAAAGAATCTCACCATTTTGAGGGGAATGAGCTCTGATTTGAAGAGGGGAAGATGACATTAGCTTGGAAGAAACAGAGAGGAAAATGTGAAAAGAAAGAGCAATGAAGAGCAAAAAGAGGGCAAATTTGAGAAGAACATGTCTTTGCTTTCTCACAAGAAATGGGTTATTGGGTTCAACCTTCATATCTCTCTCTCTCTCTCCTCTGCTTCTGAGACGAAGAAACGAAGTGAGAGAAAGAGAGAGAGAGAGACTTAATTCTGCAACCAACCAAAGAGGGCCTTAATTAAGTGAGGGGGTTGTGGGTTTAAGTCTTGAAAAGCTGATGGATCTAGATGGGTTGATCCCTTACGAACCTTCTTTCTTTTCTTTTTCCCTTTCCTTCTTATATTGCTGTCACTTTTGAGCTTGTTCCCCCCTTTTCTTTTGATAAATTATTGAGCAAATCCATCCATGTGGTTCTCATCTTGTTCGATATCCGTTATATGTATGTCTTTTAACAACTATTAGGTACATATTCGACGGTTCTCATGTCTTTAGGTGCAAAAGTACTCGTGTTTTGTTAGGAACTAATTTCCTTTATTATTAGGGGACAACAACCACTTGAAGGGATAGAGGAGCACATGTACGGTGGAGAGCGAACAAGAGGGAAACCGAAATATTGGTAAGAATCAAATTTAACTACATCTATCCTGCACTTTAATCTTAGATAAGTATTACGATCTTAGCTGTAGTAGTTAAAAAGATATATTATTGTATGACATTAAAGTTTAATGGTTGTAGTTTATGTAGGTTTAAAAGTATAGGATATGTATATATAAATAAACAAATAAGCTGAAAAGAAGGTAGAAAGAGAGAGGCTATGTGATGGTGGCACATGCTATTCAAGCTTGTGCTCTTCTTTGCCTTCTTTTTTCAAACCACTCATAAATATATGCCTTACCCTTCTAGTGGACTTCTCTTTATTCTTTCCTCCTTTCCTTTATTATTTGAGATAATGGATGCATTAATGAGCTCATATCTCGTATGGATATGGAGAGGAGGGAGTAAGGTGTGACTGTAAACTCATCGAGCCATGTCATGATGCAACCAAGGAGAATGATGCATCAGTTAACACATTGAGGATGTGTGTGTCTATTGAGAGTTTAGGCACAAGGCTCTTGAGTTAGATGCACGCGGCTATTACTTTGCGGCAATATGGACTCGACCCATTTCGTATATTTAGCTTCTTCTCTCACTGAGTTCTCCTGGTTCCCCTGCTCAGTTCCTAATGAACTTCGGAACGAATAGAAAAGTGACCAATAAATAGATGAAAGAAAGTAGAAGACGGTTTACCTTGTTTACAGTAAAAGAATAGTGAAACCCAAGTGAAAGAAGAATTGTCCAGGAAGGAACGAAAGACAGCCAGTAACTCCTCTCATAGGTCGAAGGTTGCAATACAAGTATGTACACGAAATGAAGTTTGGTTGACGATGAAAGAACTTCACCTAAAGTTTTCCATAAGGATGGCCATGATCGAGTTTAAATCAAAACGCTACATAGTTGGAAGAGTATACGAGTAACGCTAGACACTAGACAACTAACTTTGTTACTCATCAAAATAATAAATAAAATTTTGTGGCAAAGGGTGGTCCCTATAGTTTTTTCTTGGGCTTTTGCATTGGAATGGCTCATCATCAAGCCTATTGGGCCAATGTTTTGGGTGATCCATCAACCCTATTTAGCTCATATTATGGACGACCCATCAAGCTAGTTTTTTTTTGGCTTTTTAGAAATTAAGTCTCCTCAGATGGAAATTAACGTTCATATTCGGTCTCGGGTAACCAAAATTGAGAAGGGAATAAGTGCCAGGGTAAACGTTGGGCCCCGAAGGGGGTGGACTATGAGATCCCATATCGGTTGGAGAGGGGAACAAAATAAGGGTGTGGAAACCTCTCCCTAATCGACGCGTTTTAAAAACATTGGGGGAAGTCTGAAAGGAAAAACTCAGAGAGGACAATCTCGGCTAGTGATGGACTAGGGTTGTTACCGTGGGAGTTATTCTAGATTCCTCTGTTGTAGATTCAACTAACCGAACCCTTTTTTGGGTCCAATCAATCTTCTAAGCTTGCATCTCCTATACCTAGAAAGAAGTTAAAGCTCGTGTATATGAGCTAAATTGAAAGTCTTAAAAAAGTATTAATCAAATTAAAATTTTATTCAACTTTATCAACGTTAAAAGTGAGTATAGTTCAATGGTAATTGACTGAGAAAAAGAAAAAATAACTTTTAAATTAAAAACAAAAATTAGGGATATTTATTTATTAGAAAAAGTGACGTCATTAATTCGTGAGATTCTTGGAAAGATATGAAACCTTCTTTTTAATATTTAAATAAGAGAATAAAATTACACATAATTAGCAATTTCCTTAAATATCTTCCTCTTTACTTTTTTGACATTCCTTTTCATGATTTTTCTTGTTATACTTATCATGGCTCATTATCATTATTAAACATATTTTTAAGTACAAAAAAATTATTTTTCTCCTAGGCATCTTCTACTCGCCCAATTTCATAGCTAACAGATATTGTCATCTTTTGATGTTTCGTTCCACTCTAATACCATTTGTAATAACTCAAGCTTACCGCTAGTAGTATGACCTCTTTGGGCTCTCTCTTTCAGACTCGTTCTCAAAGTTCTAAAACGTTCTCACATCCTTGTAAAAAATGTTCTGTTCTAGTCTCCAACCAATGTAGGATCTCACACATCTCGACCCAAGCTGTTAAGGGCAAGAGAAATATTTCGCATATCTCCACGATGGTATAATATTGTGAGTTTTAAGTATGAACCCTCGTAGCTTTACTTGAGTGGACGTTCATCAAAGTGTGTTGGGTGGCTTGTTTTTAGCATCTAGAGAAAGCAAGTGAATCATTAATGGCGTCTATATTACAAAGAAATGGTCGTCAAATCTTCCTTCTCACTTGGCAAAGTTGGAGAATCAATGACTGCGGCAGAATAAGGCAAAGAATTTGATGAGCTCCATAGGGAAGTGAAATTAACACATCAACCAACTTTTTATCAGAATCTTACCACTATTTATGGATGATAAATAAAGAAGATTACTATAGAGTCCTGTGATATCGAGGACAACGAAACACTCTTTATAAGGGTGTGGAAACCTCTCCTTAACAGACACGTTTTAAAAACTTTGAGAGGAAGCTCGGAAGGGAAAGCCCAAAAAGGACAATATCTGTTAACGGTGGGCTTAGACCGTTACAAATCGGGAGATGTGCCACCAAGTAGACTGTTCCTCAAATGGGGTAGACACGAGATGGTGTGTCAGTAAGGACGCTAGGCCCTGAAGGGGGTGGATTTGGTGGGGGTCCCATATTGATAGGAGAAAGGAACGAGTGCTAGCAAGGACGCTGGACCTTAAAGAGAGATGGATTGTGATATCCCACATTGGTTGGGGAGGAGTAGGGCATGGAAACCTTTCTCTAGCAAATGCGTTTTAAAAACCTCAAGGAAAAGCCTGAGAGTGAAAGTCTAAGGAGGACAATATCTGCTAGCCATGGGCCTAGGTCGTTACAGTGTAATACACATCTAACCGACATGAACGACCAACCTAGAATTAACCAAGTGAGCGGTCATGGAGAAGGAAAGGTCAAACGCTTAGGTCCAACCGGGAATGAGCAACAGGACATCCTCATTTAGAAAGAAGGGTCAGGGTCGGTAGCTTTCCCCGTCCGTCATTTTTTTTATTATTATTAATTTTTTTTTGTTGTGGGTTTAGTCAAAAGAGTTGCTTAATATTGTTTGAGAAGGAATCATATCTTCCATTGAAGCTTAGTTTTATCATATTCTTTTACCTTTTTTTATTATTTTTTTAAAAAAAAAAAAATTCCTTTTAAAAGAAGAATAGAAGATGTGAATATCTATTCAACAAAATCTAGCATTAAAATTTAATAATTATATAAATAATTAAAGTTCATATTGGAAATGATTATCTCAAAGATTAGAATTTTAATCAATTTGATGGTTCTAAGATAAGATGCTCATACCCAATAAATTCAATTACTTAAATAAATTAATATCATTTAGATCCCACTCTTCCACTAACCCTTTCTTCTTCTTATTCTTGTTGTTATTATGTTCGGTTTCGAGTAATCAGCTTCGATCAACTCAATTTGGGTCGGGTCATGAACGTATGTAACAACTCAAGTCTATCACTAGCAAATATTGTCCATTTTGCCCAGTTACGTATCAACGTTAGTCTCACGGTTTTAAAACATGTCTACTAGGGAAAGGTTTTCACACCCTTATAATAAATGTTTTGTCACAATCCACCCTCCTTATAGCCCCAACGTCCTCGTTGGCACACCGCGTGGTATCTAACTCTAATACCATTTGTAATAGCTCAAGCCCACTACTAGTAGATATTGGCCACTTGGTCCGTTGTGTTTTGCCATCAACCTTACGATTTTAAAACGTGTCTACTATGGATAGGTTTCCACACCCTTATGATGAATGTTTCGTTCCCTTTGTGAATCAATGTGGGATCTCACACTCGGTATTCTCTTCGAGAGTTCCAACTACTCAAATATGATTATTTAAACCTCCGACCCGAACGAGTACATATCAAATTTAATTTAATTTGTGGAGGAATATGTTTGAAAATATTGGAAGATTTTGATTTTGTGAATCATTTGCCGAAATGTGATATTCCTCGAGATATAAAGGGGTTTGCGAGTAGGAGAATATGAATATTATACTCTTCATTCAATTATTTATTATTTTTGTTTTTAAAAATAAAAACATCAAACCAAATTGAGTTAAGTAGCTAATTACGGTAACAAAAATGTCATATACATACTCGTAATAATACGAGAGGGTTTTTAACCGTCCAAATTCACCGCTAGCATATTGTCATTTTAGGCTTTCCTTCAAGATTTTTAAAATGCGTCTACTAGGAAGATGTTTTCACGCCCTTAAAAAGAATGTTTCGTTCCCCTCTCTAACCAATGTGGGACCTCACAGGGTTTGTTCTTATTCCTTTTGTAATGCCTCGAGCCCAAGATTCATATTTGGATTTAGAATTTGAATTTGACACCCGACAAACTTGTCTTGAGTTGCTTTCAATAGTGAACGTTATCCCCACATATCAACACATACGTTTTCAGTATGTTTAACCTTACGTCATCCAATCACGGTTCAATCGTGTACCATTGTTGAACTCGAGCGTTACATAAAATGACGTCAGCCCAAAAAAAGATAATTTTTTTTTTATAATTATAATTAAAAGAAATAAAGTAATAGGAAAAAGAGATGGTCATGATTTGGTAATACATACGTAAGTATAAAATAAATA